ACTACATGGTCATTCTATGCTTACCACGGAAATGAGGAAGACAAGCCTGCAGTCAGAAAACAAAGAAAATTGTACACAATAATGTGCTAAATTGCAGTGGCATAGGCTAGATGCTGAGATCAAAAGGGAAGGAATACTTTATGGAAGAGGGAGGATTAGCTGAAGGCAGTTTATTATTATGCTGATCTTGGGAAACAGTCTCTGTGAGCCTCAGCCTTCACATCTGTAAAAGAGGCTTGTTGTGTGGGCAATATTTTATGTACAGTGCCAGATACATAAGTAGTGAATAAATATTAGTTTTCCCTGTCAACTGGCTCTTGAAGAAAGGTAAAGGCTCATGAGTGAGAATGACCATGAATTATGTGTCCTTACTACAGTACAAACTATGTGTTGAGAGAATTATGGGAAATCAACCTGGAATGGTAAGGCTGATTTCCCATAATGGAGTGGCACATGGATGGGCAGAGGTATTTTAGAATGTGTTGCCTTGAAGTGATGAGAAATAGGGAACTGTGGATGACATTTAAGGAAAGAATAACATAACAGCAACACTGAAAATTACTTTCTAGAATGTAGAGGATCAGGAGAGAACCAGGAGCCAGCTAAGTGTCTATAATAGCAATCCAATGTAGCACCTGGCCTTTTGTTGGTGGAGTAGGTGAGTAGATATGATATCTTTAGACTAGAGAAAACAACAAACAACTCCTTGTACGTAGCATAGCCATTTACCATCTTAATAAAGTCTGTTTCATTGCAACCTGATAGGCAAGCGCTTGGGACAAATAAAAGCTCAAAATTCTTTACCTAGTTCTCGGAAAGACTTACATACACGCTCAGACTCAGCCGGGCTGAGTAGTGTGGCAGATGAAAAATAGGGCATTTTCTAAACATAGCACTAATTCTTTTGGCAGTTCAGAATAGCTAGGGCTAGGCAGTAGCCCAGGGTCTCAGGTGTCAGAGAAATGTATTCTGCCCTCCTAAAATAATCAAGGTCAAAGCAGCCTTCTGCAGCAACGTACAACTTTTCCTTCTGCTGCTCTGTTACTCTGTCCTGTTCAGAGTGCGCTTCTGGGTTGCAGGGACACAATGACTGTCACGTTATGTGGGGACTTACATCAGCCAGCGGACTAACATGAGAAACCTGTTCTTAGAGCATGGCTCCCAGATAGGCAACAACACAGGCAAGACACACACACCATATTTTATTTGTGTGAATGAAATCACACAATCAAAACTCAGTGTTTTGGAAAGTTGGGTGATTTTTTTCCCCGTCTTATGTAACACATGTGGCTTACTATGCATTCCTCAAGTCTTCAAGTCTCCTTGATGATAAAGGGCTGCTTGATGCAACTATCAAACTGACATAACACCTCGCAGGTATTCTTAAATTTTTAAAATACAAGTTAACTGATCTTGTCCCACTTGTGCAGTAAAGCAAATGTCTCTCTTTTGTTTGTCTGTGCATTATAGTTATAGATGGCCTTACATTCAAATAAACCAATCAATCCACCCCTACTACCCACCTGGGGCCATAAAACACTCCTCTCCCTCAACTGGCTATCTACTCAATTTTTTTAAATCTCCATCTACAGCCCTCTTTATAGTCACAGATGAGTAATCTATTTTTATTCTCTAACTTTATAGAACAGTAAAATTAAGCAAGTAAAAAAAATAACCAATAAAGGATTGCCATTTATTTTAAGTAAAGACATAAATGTAACAGACTATCCTCCCAAATCACTATTATTTCAAAAAAGGACTTAGGTTTTTTTTTTAGAAAAGAGCATACTTTCAGAACAAAGGTTTCTAATAATCAATTTATCTTTTTTTTAACAAGGATATTATCATTATTTTTACCACTTGAATGTAGAATAATTTTTGTCAAGAATTGACCGTATTTGGGAGCTGATGATCTACTCTCCAGACACTATTTAGCCCCCTGAAAACTGGCTCTTCCTAACTCCAGAATCTGTTCTTACAGAAACCCATTAATGACTAATTATCAAATCCAAAAGACACTCTTCAGCCCTTCCTCAGTCTCTCTGTAGCACGCTTCTGGATCACTTTCCGACAGAAGTTATCATTACATGTTGGGTTTCCCATACTTCTGGTTGTTCCTGTTTCCTTTGCACCTTGCCTACCCACTAAACAGGTAGGCCCTAGGATTCCATCTTTGGACTTCTTTTCTTGCTGTATTCTTTCCTTAAAGCTTAATCCATTCATATCGAAACACTGGTGAATTCCTAAATCCATTTCTAGCCCAGTTCTTTTTCCTGAGCACCATATCCATATCCGCAATTGCCTCTGGACATCTTTACTATCTCAGACATTCAAAATATTAGTGATCTCCTCATTCCATACAAGGTACACTTTTTTGTCCTGTCTCACTGAATAAGAACACCAACTACCCAAAGTGACTTTGAATCTTCACTCTTCCTTAGTTTTCTCATCCAATTAGCAACAAAATTTCACTCTGTTTATAAATATTTCTAAAATCTATCTCTTTCTCACATTCCCACTGCCTTAGTTGAAGCACCATAATCTCTTAACTGTACTACTTTAAAGACCTCTTGAGGTTTTTACACAGAAACAAGGCCCTGGTACAATATCTTGCAAATGCAATTTTCTGAGAATTAAGATCCACACATCTAAGGAAGGTCAAGAACCATGGTCCTTGCACACTTAATAAGAACCAGGTGACAATTTAAAAAACAAACAAAAAACAAAAACAAACAAAAAATCTGGTGCCAAATCTTTCCCTCCCATTCACTTACAGGTTGTCTCGACTTAAAATGGAACACAGGATTTGGGGTTTAATATTTGCAAAGTTGCACAAGGGAAGTATTTGTAGTACGAGTAATGTTATTCTTAAGCTGGGTGCTGGTTAAATAGGTGGTTAGTAGTGAAAACTAAGAGCTGAACACTTCAAATATGTGCCCTTTTAACATACACAGCATACTTAAATACAAAATAGCACCACAGAATTTTAGGCAGAATAGTCTCCCTGGCATGACAACTCTTGATCTGCCCTTACGGAAGGGCAGCCTTACCTCCTCTCATATTCCCAATTCATCAAGAAATCAGGAGTTCAATTTGTAGCTACCAGTTATCTCACAATTCCCCTGCCTTCAGATACTATTCATCTTCCCTGGTGCTCATCTTTTAGCCTCATCTTGAGCATCCTCCTCTTGATTTAACTTTTTCCTTCCCTTCTCTTCTAGATACTTCATTTCCCTCTCTAGAGCCCTCTGCATACTTTTTATAATTTTCTTGGGAAACAGAAATGGACACTTAATTGCTTTTTTTAAAAAATAAATTTTTATATAAAAATGGCCATAGTGCCCAAAGTAATTTATAAATTCAATGCTATTCCCATCAAGCTACCATTGACTTTTATTACAGAACCAGAAAAAAACTACTTTAAATTTCATATGGAACCAAAAAAGAACCCACATAGCCAAGACAATCCTAAGCAAAAAGAACAAAGCTGGAGGCATCACACTACCCGACTTCAAACTATGCTACAAGGCTACAGTAACCAAAACAGCATGGTACTGGTACCAAAACAGATACACAGACCAATGGAACAGAAGAGGCCTCAGAAATAACACCACACATCTACAACCATTTCATCTTTGACAAACCTGACAAAAACAAGCAATGGGTAAAGGATTCTCTATTTAATGAATGGTCCTGGGAAAACCAGCTAGCCATATGCAGAAAGTGGAAACTGGACCCCTTCCTTACACCTTATACAAATATTAGCTCAAGATGGAATAAAGATTTAAATATAAGACCTAAAACCATAAAAACCCTAGAAGAAAACTTAGGCAATACTATTCAGAACATAGGCATGGGCAAAGACTTCATGACTAAAACACCAAAAGCAACTGCAACAAAAGCCAACATTGACAAATGGGATTTAATGAAACTAAAGAGCTTCTGCACAGCAAAAGAAGCTAGCATCAGAGTGAACAGGCAACCTACAGAACGGAAGAAAATTTCTGCAATGGCACCATGCAAAATGGCAACATGGCACATGTATACCTATGTAACAAACCTGCACGTTCTGCACATGTATCCCAGAACTTAAAGTATAATTTTAAAAAATGATTTTTCAGGGGGCTGTTTTTTTATAAGCAATGATTTGTACATGCAGTCAAGAATTGTTAAGTTACTGGAGTTCTGAGTTGTCCAAGGATCTTAAAATTATGAAATTTCCATAAATTCCAGATTCATGTCCAAGGATATTAAAAATTATGTAGGAATACCTCATATAAACATGGGTCAAACTACTATGAGGTCAACAGCAGCCAGTGCTTCTGCTATGGAAGATAACCATACAAGAAACTGATGTGACTTCAAGAAAAAGCAAAGAATTGTGTTTCAGTGTACATGCAGTGAAAACATACATGATAGATTTTTAAAATACTGAGAACAGGTCTAAGAACCTCATTAGTTGAGATCCTGATCTGGGAACTGGTGTAAAATAAGTACAACTGGGAAGATCCAGGGCAGGATAATTTTATGGACGAGTCAGGTGCAGTATGTTGTTTTTTGTACTTTTCCTTGTACTACAAATTGTTTTTAAATGTCAGCTGTATAGTAACTATGAGTACCTAATTTGAATAAGGGAGTGCACAAAGATATCTATCTTTCTATACATGTATCATAATCTCCACACTCATATGCAGGTACACACATAAAGAGATAGGAAGATGAAAGTCTGGAGGTAATTTTTAGAATGACTGAGGTACAGGAGAAAGGGAGGGGTCATTTGCTCAAACTACTAGGAAGCTGGAATTACAGAATTCTGGTAATTTGGAATTCTATACTCAGAAACTAAAGAACCTGGGCTTAATTGAGCTACTCCAGAAAAGGTTAACTAGTCACACACAGAATGAATGAGAGCAATTTCCTTCCTATCTTTGATTCTAATTTTAAAAATACAGTAATACTTTTCACAGAATTGGTTTTACACTCAAGTAACAACTCTTACACAAAGCAAAAAACAAAACAGGTTTTAATGGTTAAAACAGATGAAGTAATAGGTTTATAATAACCATTAACTAAGGGAAGCCCTAGAACAAGAAATAAGGATTTTTAATTGCATGCAAAACCTAGTTATCATAAAAACCAATGCAATACCAAAATATCTCAGCTTCCTAGCATAGACTCCAGGTCTTTTCATTTCCAATTCTTGGCAATCAAAATATGTACACTTTTATATGCACCTGGTTGTGGAGGAATAAGATCATTCACATAGGACTACAAATATCTTTCACAGGTAGGAGGGCACAAAAGAACAGTATTTTCCTCCACTTTTTTGGGTCCATCTTGAGAAACAAAAAAGGCACTCCCAAAGGTTCCTTGGTAACACCTTTGTTAGGTTTCTTAATTACTAACATAATCTTTACATGTAAGGTTAATGGTCCACTCATTTCATAGATCTGGGAACCATCAGGCATTGGAACTGCCTTTAACTCACATGCCAAACATCTGGCTTACTTTAAACAAGGACAAAACTGTATATTGATTTCAAAAACATTTGGGCTTTGTTTCCTTGACAACTTATATGTGCTTAATCACTGGACTTTGGCATGCAGAGCCAAACATATCATGGAACTGAAAGAACCACAATATGAGATGGTGACAGAAGACTTTTTGAATCATTATTCTCAGTTTTCCAATATCAGCTGCTCCAGCTCCCTTATAGCAATCCTACTTTGTCCCTCAGAGCACCCATGCTCTGAACCTAGGTTTAATCTCTTTGCTGAAAGATTTATTAAAGATACTTAGATAAATTACTAAGTCTTTATGATCATCAAAGAGTAAGGGAAGTCAGATGCTCATGGGCAGTTGTCCACTATTCACAGAATCTTTAGAAACCATTTGTCTGAGGCCAAGGAGAATTTGCTTTATCACCAAATTTGACCCACGTTGAGCCATACTAAAACTGCACTTGGGTAACTAGTCTCAAATCAAATTGAGCTTATGTATCACTCTACATTTATTGCATCCATGCTGTGTGCAATTTCTGATGCTGAATAAGAGAAATGCGGCAATTAAAGGCTTCACCACAAGCATCACATTCATGGGTTTCTTGGGTTTTCACCTCTGCATGCATCTTCTGATGGTTGACAAGACTGCGCTGTTGACTGAAACTTTTGTCGCACTTCTCACACTTATAAGGTTTCTCTCCTGTGTGTATTCTCTGATGCTGAATAAGACCCGAGTTCCGGCTAAAGGCCTTTCCACATTCATCACATTTATGGGGTTTATTACCTGTGTGAACACCCTGATGTCGAATAAGATTACAAAGTTGACTAAAGCTTTTTCCACATTGTCTGCACAGATAGGGTCTCTCACCAGTGTGGATTCTCTGATGTTCAATAAGAAATGAGCTTCGGCTGAAGCTTTTCCCACAGACAGTACATAGATAGGGCTTTTCACCAGTGTGGATTCTTTGATGTTGTACAAGATGAGCACTAACACTAAAAGTTTTCCCACATTCATCACATTTATAAGATTTCTCCTTAGGGTAGACTTCCTGCTGTATAACAAGACTGCAATTTGGATCAAAACTTTCCTTAGTTTCATTGTATGGATAAGTCTTCTCCCTGGTGTGAATTCTCTGATGCTGAATAAGACCTGAGCTTCTACTAAAGGCTTTCCCACATTCCTCACATTTATGGGGCTTGTCTCCTGTGTGAATTCTCTGATGACGAGTAAGGTTGCAAAGTTGACTGAAACTTTTCCCACACTCTTTGCACTGATAAGGTCTTTCACCAGTATGGATCCTCTGATGTTCAATAAGGAATGAGCTCCGACTGAAACTTTTTCCACACTCAATACAAAGAAAAGGCTTCTCGCCAGTGTGAATTTTTTGGTGTTGTATAAGGTATGTGCTTAATCGAAAGGCTTTCCCACATTCACCACATTTATGGGGTCTTTCCCCAGTGTGAATTCTTTGATGCTCAACAAGCAATGAATTTCGACTAAAGCTCTTCTTACATTTGGTACAGTGATAAGGTTTCTCACCAGTGTGAGTTCTTTGATGCTCAATAAGGTGTGATTTCCAGCTGAAGGCTTTCCCACAGTCACTACATTTATGAGGTTTCTCACCTGTATGAATCCTTTGATGTTTAACAAGGCTCCTTCTCTGGCTGAAGCTCTGTTTACACTGATTACACTGATAGGGTCTTTCTCCAGTGTGGATTCTCTGATGTCTAATAAGGGTTGAGCTCACACTAAAGGTTTTTCCACAGTAATTACACTCATAGGGCCTTTCCCCAGTGTGAATTCTCTGATGTTCAATAACAAATGAACTGCGGCTAAAACTTTTCCCACATTCATTGCACTGAAAAGGTTTCTCACCAGTATGGACCCTTTGATGTTGAATGAAATGGGCCTTGCGGACAAAACCCTTTCCACATTCTTCACATTTATGGCATTTCTCTTCTGAGTTTGGTCTTTTACGGATAATGTTAGTGTTTTCTCTGAACATTCTCTGTTCCGGGGTCAAAGATTCCCTTGGTATTTCCCATAAGAAGATTCCTCTTTGTTTATCTAACCTACCAACAAGTTCAAAGGTTTCTCTACTCATAGGATCCTGGTCAATTTCACTTTTGATTCTTGTAACTATTACACCCTGTGGTTCCACTTCTTCCTCAATATCTTCAATTTCTTGTTTTACAGTTGGCTCCTCATCCTTATCTCTGTTTAAAACATCTGGAATAATAAACAGGAAATACAAAGATCAATCAAGGTCTTTGAAGCAAGGAGAAACAAAGTAAAATGGGCAAAGAAACAAATCAAGTCAAGGTGGGATTAATCAGTCTATCAAAGAAAACAGGGTAGGATGAAAAAAATCCCCACTAAGTTCAGGAAAATTTAGGATGAAAAAACATTATTGGAGTATGATCAGACCAAATAATTAACAGAAAGGACCAGATGCTAATGGCCAGGCATAGTGGCTCATGCCTGTAATCCTAGCATTTTGGGGGAGTGAGGTGGGAGGATCACTTGAGCTCAGGAGTTTGAGACCAGCCTGGGCAACAGCGAGACTTCATCTCTACCAAAAAAGAAAAAAATTTTTTTTAAGTAGCCAGGCATGGTGGCACACACCTGTAGTCCCAGCTACTCAGGTAGCTGAGGTGAGAGGATTGATCACTTAAGCCCAACAGGTTGAGGCTGCAGCAAGCCATGTTTGCATCACTGCACACCAGCCTAAGCAATACAGTGAGACCTAATCTCAAAAAAATAAAAATAAAAATAAAAAAAGATGCTAAGAAGAATAACAGACAAAGATCCAGGGGAAACAATAATTCATTTATTAACAAGCATTTACTCACTGCCCATCAAAAGCACTCCAGAAACACTGTAATCAGCCAGGATTCAGAGACAAGACATGAAGCTCCCCCCCAACCCCATCAAATGGAATGGATGTTAAGTAAAAAATGGGGAAAGAAAATAATATGATAAAGAAAATATTAAGTAAAAAGCAGTTCCTGTATAAAGAGACAAAATGGCTTTTAAAAACAATAATAAAGGGTTAGGTGACAGAGAGTCTATGATATTGGGATGCAGAATAAAATAAGTATTAAGAAACATGGTCAGAGTTCGTGGGAGTAACAACCAAAAAGGGCAGTCTGTGGTAGCTTATGACTTCACCAACCACAAATCATACCGCAAGTACAAGTGATTCTAAACTCTCTAACAATGTAAGACCCAAGGATCACCAGCTTGTTCCAACTGAGAGGCTGCATGACATCTGAGAAATGAAAATCTTGGATGTGTTGAAGAAAAGACAGCACAGTGGTTTATCATATAACAGAGTGGTATATAGTACATTTAGGCCTGCTTCTGACATCTTCCTGATTTTCCATCTCTTGCTGGAATAGATATTAGATAATTCCATCAGAAGATTCAATAATGACCAAATTTATATTTGGCCCTAAACAAGCTCCTTTTTCATACATCCTCTTTTCTCTCAATTTTTTTGTGGAGTCATCTTTGAATTTTCCATTTGCTTACTTCAAACTAGTCATTATTTTATTCTAAAATAACCTTCTCCTATCCCTCTAAGAAACTACTAGAAATTTTATTTCTTCTAAGGCTACTTATAGTGTCCCCTCTCAAATTTGTTTTCGGTGGGCTGTATTTTCTTTCACGTAATGAAAAAACATGAAAGAACTCCCTAAACTTTCTGTCCCCTACCTATAAAATTATCTGCCAATGGTACGTAAAGATATATCTGATTCTTATGTAAAGCTAATCCATCCACCCCTTATCGATTCCACTCACCTCTGGGCATTTGCTTAATTATCCTCTGCCTTTCCTCTTTCTTCAATATACACTCTCTATTGACACTTTCCTACCATTACATAAATACGTCCAATTTTATCTTGAACCTGAAATCCTTCTCTTTATGAAAGCCAAGCATTGAAACAAAATCTTAACACCGAGGTTTTCTATTTCTTATGTTTTCCATGCCCAACCTCTTCCTATTCAACCTATTCTGCAACCTATGGCAAAATCTGGTTTCTATTTCCAGTATCTAGAGAAACTTCCCATTAGATTACCAATGACTCAAAGTTTTTTTAAAAAATGGGCATTTTTTTTTTTTTTTTTTTTTTTTTTTTTTTTGACAGAGTTTTGCTCTTGTTGCCCAGGCTGGAGTGCAATGGAGCGATCTTGGCTCACTACAACCTCCACCTTCCGGGTTCAAGCGATTCTCCTGCCTCAGCCTCCTAAGTAGCTGGGATTACAGGCACCTGCCACAATGTCTGGCTAATTTTTTTTGCATTTTTAGTAGAGATGGCGTTTCACCATGTTGGCCAAGCTGGTCTCGAACTCTGACCTCAGGTGATCCACCCACCTCGGCTTCCCAAAGTGCTCGGATTACAGGAGTGAGCCACCATGCCTGGCCTAAAACGGGCATTTTTCAGTTCTTATGTTATTCAGCAGCACCTAACACTGTTGACCACCCCAATTTCTTGACATTATCTGTTTTTGGTTTCTACGCTATTACATTCTTTTATTTCATTCCCTACTTCTTTGGGCTTTTCTGATAAATTTCCCTCATTTATTTCTTTTCCTTTGTCAACTGATTTTTGTTATTGTTACCCACATTTACATCCTTACTTGTTCTGTATATACACCCTCCAGACATCTCCAGTTAAATGCCGCACAAAGGGCTCACAATTAACATGGTCATCATCATCTGCTCTAATGCCCTTCCCCACCTTTAATTATCTCCTGAAAGGCACCATCATCCATTACCCTACAGTCTCAAAGCAGGAATCATCCTGTATTTCTCCCTTCTTCTTATTGTTAATCAATCATCCAAATCCTGGATTTATCTTTAGCACTTACCTTTTAACCCTCACAATCATGTAGCTGCCTTGCAATCTTTGGCTCCAGTCTTCAGACTACCAACACATTATATCTGCCTTACTGATTTGAGAAGAGATCTCTATAAAACAGAATTCTACCATGTCATCAGCTGTAGATTTAGCAGCTCCCCATCACCGTTAGGATTGAATCAAGCTCTTTGCTATGATACAACTCTTCATGACACAGTCTCTGAGCCTTAAGTCATGTTCCTACCTACTTTATCATACTTTATATAGGCAAATTGTTTGTGTTACACTCTTTCATGTCTTATCTTTGCATATCTCATTTACTAAATGTCCCTCAACACTGTTTACCTGGCAAACTTTTGGTTTCACTTTAAGATTCAAAGCAATCTTTAAGTTTAAAGCAACAGTTCCTCTACAAAGCCTTTACTAAGTCCACTAGACAGATCTAGGTGTTCTATTTTTTTATCACCAGCCCTCGTCCATAACTCTATTATTGCTATGATTACACTGCATTTTTTTAACTGTTTATTATTTGTCTCTTCCACTGGATTGTAAATTCTTTGTGAGAAGGCAGTCTCTTCAGAGTATTTGTTCAGTTATATTAGCTGGATTAGTGGATACTGTTCCGTCAATTTCATTCAAATGAGTAAGACAAAATTATCATTACTTGAAGATGATATGAATGTATACCTAAAATTCCTGAAATAGGCAAATGAAAATATAATCATAACAAGATTAAAAAGCTTGTTCTTAGTACAAAAAAAGTTAGTAAATATTATACAGAAATGATAAACCCTTCACAATAGTAACCAAAAAAATAAAACCTAGGAATAAACATAAGAAATGTGTAAGATCCATAAAAATATTCCATACAGTTTTTCTGAAAGACAAAAGGATACAGTTAAACAGAGTTAACCACATGGGTAAAGAGATTCAATATTATAAGGATCTCAATTCCTTTCAATCTATGAAACTAATCACATTCCAATCAAAAATCATTTATGAACCAATAAAAAAGTCAATACTTCTAAAGTTTAGAAGAAGGCAGACTAGTGAAGTATATCCTAAAAAAGATTATTAAAGAATGACTTATATTACCAGACATAAAATATAATATATTGTTAAAGCAAATAAAACAATGACATTGGCATAAAAATAAATAGGTCAACAGGATAGGCAGGTGAAGAAAACAAGTGTAAGGCTCCACACAGAGCAGCCTTGAAATGACTATCCATTAGATCTGGGCTTGGTAATGCTTATGCAGTATCTTCCCATCCTGTGCTCATAGCCAATTTTTCTACATAGATAGTTGACTCAAAGTGGGTTTCACCAAAGAACCTGGAATTGAAACTGAAGTCACTAGTTATTCTGAAGGTAGCTAGAACTGTAACCTATCAAACCAGAAGCCAAAAGGACAGAAGTATGTGAACATACGAGGAAAGACTAAACTATCAAGGAGAAAAAAAGAGATAAGACAGTGTTATAGACTGAATGTTTGTGTTCCCACCAAATTCATACGGTGAACCCCTAATCCACAATGTGATGGTATTTGGAGGTGGGGCCTTTGGGAAGTAATTAAATTTAGATGAGCTCATGATGGTGGGGCCCCCATGATGGGATTAGTGTTCTTATAAAAAGAGGAACGAAGACCAGAATGTTTGTGCTCTCTCTCTCTCTCCCCTCTTCTGCCATGTGAAGATACAGTAAGAAGGTGGCAATCTGCAAGTCATTGCGGAAGGAGTCATTAAAACTGAAGATGTCAAAGATCTGAGAAATTAAGCTATCAACCGTATCATTGATGTAGCTATTGAAGGTTTTTTTTTCTTTTTAATAAGCTTGAACAAGAAAAGTATGAATGAAAAGCCAAAACTATAAAGCTAGATGAGAGTTGCATTATGAAAAGCAGTTAAGATGAAGTAGAAGCATTGCAACAGTAGAGTAATAGTGATCTCTTATCAAGGGAGCTCTCACCAAGGGGCTGGAGATAGGGTCTATTGAGGAGGATGAAAAGACTGTGGGAGGATAAATGATGAATGACGGAAAGCTGTATTTAAGCTGCAATAAAGAAGACAGCCTACAAGTACAAGATCATCTATGGGCACACTGTCACACCTTGTCCATATGGTATTTACATATGGGCACTTATTTGGTTCTATCAACCAGAATATCATATATATGGATAATCTGGCAGTGACTGAGAGACAACATGGCATATTAAAACACATACACACACACACACACACATCAACAGCTGATATGGCTGAAGACTAAAGTAGTGTGCAGGAAAAAACAGGTGAGGCAAGAAAGATAGGCAGAGACTATACTTGGAAGGTCCTATATAATAAGAAATTAAGATTTTTATCCTTTAAGCTATCAGGAACCATCAGAAGTTTTACACAGTTAACTAATACAAAATCACTTTGGTGGCAGTAGAGAGAATATATTTTTAAAAAGGAGACTAGTGGCAAGGGGGTAGTTTAGGGGTTAATGCAATAATCCAGTTAAGAGATACTAAGTCTGAAATTAACTGTACTTAGTCATACAAATATTTAAGAAGCATATAATATAGGTCTGGCTCTGTGCTAAGTGCTGGAGAAATCAAATGAAACAGGTATATTTACCATCCTCACAGTAATCAGTGAGGTTAGAAAAGTAACACATATAGAATGATTATAGTATAGTATAATAAATTCAATAGCAGGAGTACATACAAAGTAAAACAATGACAGGAGTGCTTAACTCTGGAGAGAAGGCCCTCGATTTTAATGGATGGAAACTTGCCAGGTTTGAGTTACTCATGTGGTCTTCAAAAGATGACTAGAAATTTGAAACTCAACAGAGAAGATGATGACAACAATATAAGTCAACATTTATATTGTTCTTACTACATGTTAGTGTGTTAAGTGTTTTACATATATTAATTTAGTTAATGCTCACAGTAACCCTATGAGGTAGGTGTTATTATTATTTCCATTTTATAAAAAAATAAACTGAGGCAAAGAGAAGTTAAATCACTATAGTCACCAGGCTAAGTAAGTGGTGGAACCAGGATTTAAACCTAGGCAGTTAGGCTCCACATTACCTTTCTTAAGTGGAAATAAAGATTTGGGCCAGGCACAGTGGCTCATGCCTATAATCCCAGCACTTTGGGAGGCCAACGTGGTTGGATCACCTGAGATTAGGAGCTCGAGACTAGCCCAGCCAAGACAGTGAAACCCCTTCTCTACTAAAAATACAAAAATTAGCTGGGTGTGGTGGTGCACACCTGTTTATCTCAGCTACTCAGGAGGCTGAGGCAGGAGAATCTCTTGAATCCAGGAGGTGGAGGCTGCAGTGAGCTGAGGTCGCACCACTACACTACAGCCTGGGCAATAGAATGAGGATACGTCCTAAAAAAAAATTGGGACTTATCTTCACAGAGTGGTAGCTGATGACCTGAGTGTAGGTAAGGTCCCCCAGGGAAAGAGTACAGACTGAGGGGAAGTCTGAGAATGCAAGCCAATGGAGGGAAACAATAAAGACTTTCACATGTTCATAGAGAGGTAGAATAAAATAAGGTCCCAAAAGGGTCTACTGCATTTGACAATGACGTTATTACAGATCACTGTTAAACAATTTAAAGGGAGTATTAGAGGCAACACAAAGGGGCTCAGACACAAGGGGAGGTAAAGAAGTACAGAACACACATTAACTACTCTTACAAAATCTTGACTGTGAAGAGAACAAGCAGTAAATTATAGGCAGCAGCAAGAGGGAGAGTCTGGCTCATAGGAGGGATTTTTTCTTTTTTCCTCTCTTTTCTCCTATTGGAAGAGTTATGAACATACCAATCATCAGAATAAGGGAGAATAAATAGAGACTGAAACAATAATGGAAAAAAGAACAACTGATTAGTTTCTGGAAAGGTGAGAAGATGAGAGCAGCTTTAAGTGTGTAGATAAGAGGCAGAGAAGTTGAGAGTTCGTGCTTATTGGCCCCTATTTTCTCTGAGAAACAGGTGAGCTTCACTACTGAATGATGGATAAGCTTTTGGAATAGTCACTAAAAAGAACAGGGCAGTGAGCACATCAAGGACAAAAAATATTGCTAAGATATAAAAACCCCAGTGGAGACCAGAAGAAAAAGGCCATATTTATATACAGAACATCAATCTTTTTGGTTAGAGAATTTCTCCTGCTATGTTTAGCAATTCGGGTAGGAAAGAGGGAAAGGTGCATTTTACAACAAACACAGGATTTGAAGTTTGCAGAATGGGTAGAGAATAATGACAGGCTGGCAGGCGAGCTTGCTGGTGATTAGATGGGGAGACAAGCCCAGAGAGGATGGACACCTTGGTGAAAAAACAGAGATGCCAAGGGACAGGAAACATCGTTAATAACGAGTGGGTTTAGGTGGAAAGAAGTAGGAAAGATAGAGAAGTTGTAGTAAGCTCCACAAGGGGAGAAAGCCTCTCTGTTTTGGTTACCCTAGTCTAGTTAGTCCATAAACTTCCATTGCCGAATAACTGGTCAGAGAATAGGGTATTGGGATTTACGATTTGCCTGTTATGACAAAATTGCTATGATCAATGATGTAAGGTGCTGAGTGAAAATGGAAAGCAGGGCCCCTGAAGTAAGACCCACTGAGGCCGAAGTATTAACTGGGTCATCCATGGCATGAGTTAAAACAGATATGAAACATGTGACAAAGTTATGTGTGAAGGACCAAACAAAAAGTTGACAGATAGTGAAAAGGAACTGAGTGGAAAAAGCAAGACTGCTGAGACCTCAAAGAGGGACAGATTTTGTTTGAAGGTGGAAAACTAATGCTTTGGGGACAGCATTTAAAAGCTGAGTGAACAATAACTTCCCCCTTTCAACGCTGAGACAAAGGATGGGGAAGGAGGCGGATGTGGGAGAATAAGCGGCCCCCACTTGAAAAACTGCCAGAGAAACGTTGTCCTTGGGAAAGTGCCAGATTTCAGCTAAGGCCAGGAGGTAAGGAACATTATGTGAAGATGAACAGGGGCTCCAGAAGGCAGAGTGAAAAGGGGTGGGAGGAAAGCTGTGGGAGGATGAGCCAGGACGGAAAGTACAGAACAATATGGGAATGAGATTACTAAGACAGGATGCCCGAAAGGCTTGCAGTTTGGTCACTTTAAGGAAGCTAGGGATGAGAGGTATGGAAACAATTAATGGCTAAAAGGTTTGAATCAGAACTTTGGAACTAAGCAGTTTTGGTACTGGTTTCCGTCCAAATATTCTGTTAGTCTGATTTCTCTCTACTTTCTTAGATATGTTAATTAGAGAAACGGCAGATTCTTACCCAGTGAGACCAGGTTTCCATAATTCTCCATCATGACATCTTTATACAGGCTTCTCTGAGCTGGGTCCAGATAATCCCACTCCTCCTGGGTAAAAAACACAGCCACATCCTCAAATGTCAGCAACCCCTGAAATAGTATGATTTCTGTAGTCAGTTCCTGTTGTCTCAAGGACAATTCTACCACTAAAAGTGGCAGAGGCAATCACTTATCGGGGCCAAATAGGCTAGGAGGAACATGATAACTGAAAGTTTCACATGTTGCCCCATTCTGGGAACGAACTGTAACTGACAGACATCTCAGACTAGAAAGGACCTATGGATAAGGCTTTTCTGATGTATTATGCCCTAACAGTTTAATTTTAGTAAACTGCCCCAAGGCCTCTCCAAGCTTCCCTCACCTCACTGCCTACTTCAATTTTCCATTTGCACTGGCTTGTGACTCTATTCAATTCAATTCCTTGAGGTTCTCTAAGCGTGTACCTTGGGGTCCAGGCACTGTGCCAGGAACAGAAGACACAAGGGAAGGTCAAAAATGGTGCTTCACCTGAAGAACTCACAAATGAGAGAGCTAGTCTGGAGCATTATTTATTTTCTCTGGCCGATTTATCAAGTCTCTCTAGAAAAAGAAAAAAAAAAGGGGGGGGGGAGCCAGTGGGCAGTTTGTTCGCGAACCGCAACCCAGCGCACTAGTGGGGAGTTCCTTGCAAGGCTCTGGCCCTAAAGAGGCGGTCAGGAGGTTGGTGGGGGCCCGGGGAGAAAGCAGTGGTGAGGCCTAGCTGGGGTAGTGGCGAGACAACCGGGATCCCCGAGGGGTGCTTACTTACCTTTGACTCCGGCGGGGGGCTCGGGGAAGCCATCTCCCAGGCAGAGAATAGGGGCAGGAATTGGGGGTGGCCTCACGGAAAGGAGCCTCTAGTGAGGCCTACCCGGCTGCTGGAAATTAGGCTCGACGAAGACAAGGATCCCTGGCTGGGTCTGACCAGTGCCTGCCTCGGCCCCCAGGCGGTCACGACCCCAACAGCGTATCAGACGCGATCCCTGGCTGTCCCCCAACCCCGAACCCCAACCCCTACTCCTGCCTGGTTACGCAGCCTTTCAGGCCTTGCTAGAGCCTCCTCCCCGCTGCCAGTTCCTCCTCCTTTCAGCCAAGTAGCGCTATGACCGCCCGCCCCCGGACCAGAAGGCGTCACCCAGATCGTTCCCGGGGCCCCCCTCAACTACATCTCCCGTCATGCTCGGAAAGAGCGCCGCGGTCCAGGCGCCGCCAGCAACAGCTACCGGACTACATTTCCCAGCGTACACAGCGGGAGGGAGCCTACAGGAAAACGAAAGCTCTTGCCACTGGGATTATATCCGATTGGCTGATCTGGGCACGTCACTGCTGGCTGAGGGCTGCGCTCAGGCCCGTGGATCTCATCGAAGATGGCGGCGAGATATCTGTCCGGTATTACCAGGCGAGTCTTCCTGTGGACAGTCTCAGGGACACCACGTAGAGAATTTTGGTCTCGATTCAGGTAAAGCTGAAGGGTGGACGGTGGGTCACGTTCAAGGAAAGTTAAGGAGGATAAGGGACAAATTCAAAAGAGGGTGTTAACGCTATCGTGGTCCCGCGCCTGATCAGAGCAAGAACAAGGAGGTACGGTTAGGGTCCCGAGTTGAGAAGCACTCATTGAGTGGTGGGACCCAGTCTCTTCCCCTCTCGGCCTTAGTTTTCTCATCTTATAACGGAAATACCACCCCCTTTCCCTTTCACTTCACTCATTCATTGAGCAAATAGAATTAACCTCGTGTGCGAGACACTGAGTGTGTTTCCTGAAAGCACATGAAAGCGCTTAGTAAACTAAACTCATTTGCCGGCTGTGTTTCTTCACAAGCAAGGTTCAGTAATGAAGTACCGCCTCCTCATTTTGTTTGTTCATTCATTCAGTAATTCAACAGATTTCTCAGGACCAGCATTACTCTAAGCGCCTAGGATACAGCAGGAAAAACAAAATCCCTTCTCATCCTCGAGGTACTCCAACATATGAGGAAACAGGCCCACAGGAGGGAAGTGATTTTCCCAAAGTCACAAAGCAAGTTAATTGCAAAGCTGGATATAGAACATAGGTCTCCTAACTCCCCATCTACTGCTTTTTCCGCTGCACGGCTGCACCGTGTGTAATTGTTTGAAGGTAAATCTAATTTGACTTAGATAGTGTTTAGGAAATCAAAACGTGTGGTATTAACCCAAAGGAACAATGTATGCCCTCTTAGGTTTCAAACAAAAACTACTACAATTAGGAAATATTTTTTTCATCAGTTCATATATTAGCTTTCCCTCTTCTTTGGTTAATATTTGTTATTATCTCTAAAATATCTTCCAAGTTTGTTTTATTCATTCACTCAACAAATATTTTTTAGATTGTTTACTATAGCCAGGCTATATCTTAAGTGTTACAAGAATACAGTGGTTACTAAAACAGACCAAATTTTTGTTCTCGTTGGGCCAATGTTCTAATGGAGGAAGAAATGAACAAATGTGTAATGTAATTTCAAGAAGTGGTAAATTATGAAGAAAACTAGAGGAAACAAGAGATTACTGAGAATAATGAAGATATTTTCTTTACTATTTTAAAAATTTTATATATTTAAGGTATACAACTTGATGTTGATTATTAGTCAAGCTAATTATCATATTCATCTCTTTACATACTTTTTTGTTTTGTTTTGTTTTGTTTTAGAGAAAGGAGTTCTCACTGTGTTGCCCAGGCTGGTCTTGAACTCCTGGGCTTAATCTTCCCGCCTCAGCCTCCCAAATTGCTGGGATTACAGGGGTGAACCACCATGCCTGGCCAGTTAGAATTTTTGTGTGTGTGGTGAAAACACTTAAAAGAGTTTTCTCTCAGAAGATTTCAAGTATACAGTACAGTATTATTAATGGTCATCACCATGGTGTACGTTAGATCTCTGGAACTTACTCATTCTATGTAATTTAAATTTTATCTTTGTCCAGCATCTCTCCATTTCCACCACCCCTGCGAACCACCATCCTACTCTCTGTTTCTGTGAATTTGACTTTTTTTTTTTTGTTTTGGAGATGGAGTCTCGCTCTGTCTCCAGGCTGGACTGCAGTGGCGCCATCTGAACTCAATGCAACTTCTGCCTCCCAGGTTTAAACGATTCTCCTGCCTTAACCTCCCGAGTTGCGGGGACTATAGGCGCCCACCACCACACCCAGCTAATTTTTGTATTTTTAGTAGAGACGGTTTCTCCATGTTGGCCAGGATAGTCTCGATATCTTGACCTCATGATCCACCTACCTCAGCCTCCCAAAGTGCTTGCTGGGATTACAGGCATGAGCCACCAGGCCCGGCCTAATTTGACTTTTTTAGATACTACATATAAATGAGATCATGTGGTATTTTTCTGTCTGGCTTATTTCTTGTAGCATAATATTTTCTAGGTTTATCCATGTGTTACATATATCCTTTTTTAAGGCTGAATAAAATGCCATTTTATGTGTGTGTATGTATGCACACACATAATATATACATATATTCATAGACACATATACATATATACACACAATGGCATTTTATTCAGCCTTAAATATTGTGTATGTATGTGTGTGTGTATACATATATACATATACATATATACACACATGCTGCAATGAAGATGAGAGTGCAGATATCTCTTTGAGGTACTGCTTTCATTTCCTTTGGATATATACCCAGTGGTAAAATCGCTAGATCTTAGGATAGTTAGGATAGTTCTGTTTATAACTTTTTGAGGAACCTCAATTCGGTTTTTTATAATGGTTCTGCCAATTTTCATTCCCATCAGCAGTATATAAGGGTGCCTTTTTTTCCATGTCCTTACCACACTTGTCTTTTTGGTAAAGACCATCCTAATGGGTATGAGGTGATGTTTATTTGTAATTTTTTTTTAATGTTTATGGATACATAATAATTGTGCATATTTATGGGGTACACATGATATTTTGATGCAAGCATACAATATGTAATGGCCAAATGTGAATAGTTGACATATCCATCACGTTATTTATTTGTTTTGGGAGCATTCTAAATCTTCACTTTAGCTATTTTGAAATATAAATAAATTATTACTAACTATAGTCACCCAATTGTGAAATCAAACACTAGAACTTACTCTTTCTAGCTGTATTTCTCTTCTCTAACTGTATTACCCTTTTTAACTGTATTTCTAACCAATCTGTCTTCATACCCCACCTCCTCACTACCCTTCCTAGCCTCTGGTAACCATCAATTTATTACTACCTCCATGAGGTCATTTTTTTTTTTTTTTGGTTCACACATAGGAGTGAGAATGTGCGATATCTGTCTGTCTGCACCTGGCTTATTTCACTTAACAGTGTCCTCCAATTTCATCCATGTTACTGCAAGTGACAGGATTTCATCCTTTTTTAATGGCTGAATAATATTCCATTGAGTATATGTACAGTTTTTTTTAATATCCATTCATCCATTGGTAGAAACTTAGTTTGATTCCATATCTTGGCTATTGTGCCTAGACAGAGCTGATGTATCAAGGCAGAGGAATTGCAGTGGAGAAAGTAATTCACACAGAGTCGGCTGTGCAGGACACTGGACTTTTATTATTAGTCAAATCTGTCTCCCCGAAAACTCAGGGATCAGAGGTTTTAAAGATAATTTGGCAGGTGGGGGCCCCGGAAATGGGGAGTGTTGATTGGTTGGGTTGGAAATGAAATCACAGGGGGACTAAGTGAGTTCTTGCCAACTTATGTTCCTGGGTGGGATCACAGAACTGGTTGAGCCAGATTACCGGCTTCGGTGGTGTCAGCTAATCCATTGAGTGCAGGGTCTGCAAAATATCTCAAGCACTGACCTTGGATTTTACAATAGCAGTGTTATCCCCAGGAGCAATTTGGGGAGGATCAGACTCTTGCAGCTGGAGTCTGTATGACCCGTAACCATAATTTCTAATCTTGTAGCTAATTTGTTAGTCCTACAAAAGCAAACTGGTTCCTGGGCAAGAAGAAGGTCTTTTCAGAAAAAGGCTATTATCAATTTTGTTTCAGAGTCAAACCATAAACTGAATTCCTTCCCACGGTTAGTTTGGCCTATGTCCAGGAATGAACAAGGAGAGCTTAAAGGTTAGAAGCAAGGTGGAGCCAGTTAGGTGCGATTTTTTTTTTTCTTAGCATTACTTTGGCTATTCAAGGCATTTTGTGGTTTCATACTAATCTTAGGATTTTTTTTTCTATTTCTGTGAAGAACGTCATTGGTATTTTGATAAAGATTACATTGACAGTATATTGCTTTGAGTAGCATAAGCATTTCAACAACATTAATTCTCCCAATCCATGAATATGGGATATCTCCATTTTTTGTGTCCCCTTCAATTTTTTTCATCAGTGTTTCATAGTTTTTATTGTAGAGACCTTTTACTTCTTTGTTGAAGTCTATTCCTAGATTTTTTTGTGTGTATGTGGCTATTGTTAATGGAATTGATTTCTTGATTTCTTTTTCAGATTGTTTACTATTGGCATATGGAAATGCTACTGATTTTGTATGTTGATTTTTGTATTCTGAAACTTTACTGAATTTATTATTTCTAAGAGCTTTTTGGTAGATATTTAGGTTTTTCTAAATATACATATATCAAGATATATAAGATTATATATCTTACATATGATATGTAAGATCATATATCAAATAAGAACAATTTGACTTCTTTTCAATTTTGATGTACTTTATTTCTTTCTCTTATCTAATTGCTGTGGCTAGGACTTCAAGTTCTGTTTTGAATACAAGTGATGAAAGTGAGCATCCTTGTCTTGTTCAAGATCTTAGAGGAAAGGCTTTCAGTTTTTTCCCATTCAATAGTGCTAGCTTGTTTTGTGTCCTTGTTTGGTGGGTTTGTCATGCATGACTTTTATTATGTTGAAGTATGTTCCTTCAGTATCCAGTTTATTGACAGTTTTTATCATGAAAGGATGTTGAATTCTATGAAATGCTTTTTCAGCATCTATTGAAATGATCACATGATTCTTGTTCTTGATTCTGTCAATGTGATGTATCGAGTTTGTTGATTTGCATATGTTGAACCATTCTTGCATTCTGGGATGAATGTTGAGGATTTTTGCATTTGTGCTCATCAGGAATATTGACCTGTAGTTTTCCTTTTTTATTTTGTCTTTGTCTGGTTTTG